CCCAAGCTTTTTCACACATTGAAGCAGTGCACGAATCCATTTGCTTTGGAATACCCAGGACATTCGCAATACGACTAACTCCTTCTTTATTGAACGCAACTAAAGGAATATTATGGAGTTTCACCCATAATGGACAGGAGGAATGTTCCGGCTTTTTTAATCCCTTGGACGGATCCCAACGATTGACAAATAAAGGAATACCTCTGATCATCAACGAGCCAGCCTCAATCACTTGATTACATCCACCAACGTCATTAAATTTAAAGAAAAAAAATACCATTCTCATTAAGCATCGCATCCAAAAATCCAAATTTACCCCACGCCATTTTAACAAAAAATTTCACAAGAGGAAAAGGGATACGAGGTCCCAGGAAATAGCCGTATAAAACGGWGTTATATGCTTTGGCAGCTTCCTTCGCCATTTCAATAGGGATAGAGACATGAGCTTGTTTTTTGTCCGCAAGAGGATAAAAATTCAAATCAGTGGCCATAGAACGGCCAACCGCTTTAGCAAAATTCAGACTAGTACGTTCACCATTTCCCAAAACATTACTTTGATCCACAGAAGTAAGCCTTTCAAAAACCGAAACCCTAATGGGGTCAGTGGGAGGATTATCATCACCCATTACACCAGTTAAGAAGCCGTGGTGCTGAAGTTTCCTTTAAATACCCGAGTGAATTAGACGAAGACCCCGTTAAGAGGTGCTGAATAACCACTAGGAATACTTTCAGAGAACAACGAAGACCACARAAACACTTAACCAGCACAATAGGGAATTAAATCAAGCCCACGTACAAACAAGCAGCAGGAAAATCTTACTTTTTAACCCACGAGACAAGCACGGCAACGAGACAATAGCCCGCACCAATACGATCACATAAAATCACACAGAATAGCCCAGGAAAAACCAAACACCAGCAAAAGAAACAGCAGATCGCAACTAACCTTGACAACCAACAGCACATAAAATCATAAACCGGCAGCAGCAAAAAAACAGCAGAAACGATCAAAACAGCAGGTCAAACCCAGAAATGTCAACCAGCTCAAGAACTCTACGCCCAGAAATGGTGCAACAACACGGTCTTAACCAGAAGGACAGCATGCAAAAATTAACCAGACACAGCCCCCAACCAGTCAGGCTAAACAGCCAGATCCAATCAACAATAAAATTCGAAAACCAGTCAGATCGAGGACAAGAACCACAGTAGCAACAGAACCGCCACCACAAGACTGTCGAAGCAACCAAATCAAGAACACAACAATTAACAGCACATAAAATGACACCACCACAAATCCAGCTGCACAGAAGAAGATCCTTAACAAACAACCATAATAATCGTCCAGCCGTCACAGAAAATAACAACAAAAAGTGAGAAGCAACAGCAGTAAATCAAACAGCGTTCTCAATGACAATGCAGTACGCCAAAGCAGCAGTGGTCAATCATAAAAGAGTAAGACAGCCGCCAACAACCAAAAACCCTACTATCGCCCAATCAAACAGAAAAACTTACCAAAACAATGAAAACCCTAATTCCTCCTTCTCCACGCAGCAACCAAACTGGACGTGATTGACAGAGAATAAAGTGGACGACGGAAGCACAAACCACACCCCATAACGTACCTGGAGTAGCCCGTCGTAAAAAAAATCATGCACCAAACCAGATCAAGAAAATGGCAGTAGCTTCCCTTGAACCCTAGACGCACCACAACAATCAACAAAGAGAACCAGAATCGAAAGTCAAATGCTTATTGATCAAGAACCGATCTCCAAGCAAAACGAGAAACCCTAGCCGAAGATTCATCAAAATTTCATCTCCAAGAATGCAATCCTAGAGAGAAAAGGTCAAACGCGGTCAAACCCTGTTCTCCTTTTTTTAATGGGTATAATTGGCCTATTTCTCCTTAAAAAGTCCAATTGGGTCAACACGACTCAAACTAGGTCATAATTATTCTATTTAGACCCTAATGGGTTTAATGGTCCCAATTCTCCATAAGGAGTCTAATTGGATCAAAATGACACTAAATGGCCATATTTAGTTTGTTCAGGCCTTAATGATTATCATGGCCTTATTTCTCTTATTTGAGTCTAATTGAGCCATAACCGGCCTATTTAGTATGATCGAGTCATTTGGGTCAAAATGAAAATAAATGGATCATAATTAATCTGATTACACCCTAGTAAACTCTTGGCGTTCTCCCAGCATCCACAATGCAATACGTCCCCCCCACAGTCTCATCACTATCACCAGCTGAGCTGGACTAACAACAACATTTTCCTTTGGGACCACATCCGGAGGTATCACCTCTTGTACTGGCTTAATAACACCAACACCAAATAATGTCTCCGAAGCCACATAATCGTTATCTTTAATAGCCTTAGAAGGTTCCACCTGAATTCCATCAGTAACACCAGAAGTAGTTTTTCGGCCTCCAGTATTGCCTTCTAGCTTTTTGAAATCCCACATTTTCCAACGCCTTTGGCTGCTCTTTTGTTTTCCGTACAACCCCTTTCATGCATGAAGAAGCCCTATGTCCAAAGGTTTTACACATAGAACATTGGGACGGCACCCAATCATACTCCAATACCACCTTTACCATATCTTCACCATTACCCGAAAGCCTCGGTATTACCACTTCAACTTCCCGTTGCAACTCTCCCACGGCCCAAACATTCACCAAAACCTTTGCAAAATTCGTTCTCCCCCAAGCTCTATCACATGTGCTTGCCGTACATGCATCCAATCGTAAAGGAACCCCCACCGCACTAGCAATACGACTAATTCCCTCTTTATTAAAAGCAACTAGAGGGATATTAAAAAATTTAATCCACAAAGGGCACGATGAGTGTTCAGGTTTATAAAGCCCTACTGAAAGGGGAAGAGTTTCCCCAGGCAATTTTATAAAGACAATAAAAAGCGTCACCAATACAAAAGCAATCAGCAAGAGAAACTACGGCAACTTTGACTCACAAACCAAGTCATAAGGAGCCAAAAATGACAAAGGGAAATACACCAAAACAAAACAACACCATCCGCCAAAAAGCAAAAGGCAAGAAACACCCAAAAGATCCAAAACCGAGAAGGTGCACCACCCACGAAGTCACAAACCATTGGAATTCAAAAGATTCTTCCTAGTCTTCCAAGCCATCCGATGAAGAATCTGCATCTTGATCTCCGCAATAACTTTATCCTCCGAATGATTGAAATTGTCGAAGAACTTCCTGTTTCGTTCCCTTCAGATATTATAAACCGTTGCCGATAAACCAAGTTTTTGAACCGTAGACCAAGATTTCCAAGTTTGAGTGGACCCCCTGTGAAGAGTATCCTCCCAATTGTTTGGATAGTTCGTTAATCCCACCTCCATTTTAATACCTTCCCAAATACTGCTAGAGTAAGTGCATTCAAAAAATAAGTGATTGTGCGTTTCAATCACTAATTTACAGAACACACACTTTAA